AACCGCGGCAACTATGGCACAGAAAAAACTTCTGCTTAGAGTTTTACTTGGAAAATAATAACTAACTTCTTCCAAAGAGAATAAAACACCTCCAATTGGTGCGGCAAATGCTACACTTACACCTGCAGCAGCAGCAGCTGACAGAACTTCCCTACGCTTACCCTCATTTTTGTTGTATTTATTAAAAAGACGACTTAAAATATTACCAATACAACAGGCTATATGAACAAATGGACCTTCTTTTCCGAGTGTCATGCCAGCCGAAACTACCATAGCCTGAGGAAGGAATTAAAATTAAATTTTGTTTTCTTTAAACAATAATAAAAGTTTTAATAACATACAAGTGATAATGCTTTGACCCAAAGAGTTCTGATACCGAGAAATCCACGAATTACAAAACCGCTTAAGATAGTTTTTACTTCGGGAATACCACTACCAGCGGCGTAAGGCTTCAATTGTCTACGCTTCGGCTTTATACTTTGTTGCGTGGAACTCTTGGATGATGGGGTGGCATATAAAGAATTATGTTTTACAAGCAAAACCGAACCAGTCGCGAAAAGAAACTAAAAAAAAGTATTGTAGATATATATATATATAGAGAATTTTTTTTTTAATTAAACATTTTGATTAAAACGTGCATAACAGTGTATACATACCGCTACAACAACGTAAGAAAAATAATCGAACATGTCAGTATTATTATCTATTTGAAAAGCCTGAGACCATGACTTCCATTCTTCACATTCTTCACCATCTACTATTATTAAATATAAACAATTTAATATGCATTTATATACTTGGATTAAAAAAACGAAATTACATCTAATTTGTTTAATACGCTACAAGGTTTGTGTGCACAACAGAAATTTTTGTTTAATTTTAAAGAAGTTGTACAATATCCTTCTTTCAAATCATATCCCCATTCTGCCGCGATGTCGACACCGGCAGCGAAACAGGCAGTTACGATACCTGTTAACGAAATAAATTCGGTCTAGAGAATTAATCGAGAAATGTTCAGGAACATTTTAGGCAAGCTATAAATTACCTATTAGAAAAACGAGAAGCCAGCCTTGTAATCCATCATATGTTTTAATTATCCATCCACGAATTCCTTTAATCGAGTGCAGTTTTCGTACTCGAATTCGTTCTTTGACGTAATCGTGAATCCAATCTGAAAAGACATAAACGTAACAAGATAAGTGAGGATAATTATTGAATGAAAATGACGATAAATTTATCTTACCGATTGTCGTATAATCATCATACCAAACACGAATACCACTCCCTTCACTAACCAAGGCTTGTTTGTCTTCATCATAAGCGCCACTTCTTATCTTAAATCGTCGAATTGGTTCAGTAAGTGCTTTAAGTTGCGAAGGATTCCAAGTATGTCGTCGCGCACCAAATGTAGGTCGTTTAGGGCGCGAAAATAAACTATTTATATATATAATAAGTTATTGCTTAATAATGAACAAAATAGAATATAGAAAAAATTCTGATTAAAAGTGAATTCATTCAGATTGTGAATACATCTACTAATCGACAACAAAATAAAATACTACCCAATAGCGATATCATCCTCAGTTGATGTTCTTGCGGAAGGAAAATGGCTATAATTAACAGAGGGCTCACGAGCACCTAGCAAAGAAGTAGTTTCAGCAGGTTCATTCACATCGTTATCCGATGTTCTGTCCCTTACATTTCCTGGAGCTATGGGAGAAAACCAGGGAAGCTGCACAGCTGGTAAAAAAAGATTTGGAATATTATTTTGTTTGATTACATTACAATTTGATAAATAAATATTTGGAAGTTAGTTTGTTACCATTATCATTATTTGAACCTGTATTTGCATCGTTTGTGTTGTTAGTCTGACCATTTATGCTTCCTCTTTGACTTCCGTCAGCCATTATAATAACATTAGAAATACGTTTTAAGTTCAGATCTCGAATTTAACAGAGAATTTATCATCGTTTAAAATTAGGGGGTTTCGTATCACGCAGATCAAATTTCACCCTGCATTAAAATGACGCATATTTTACATGTGGTTCATATTTTTAATTAAAACCAATTTTGGTTATAACTTATTTAAATGACGCAGTAACAAACACGTGTAATATAGGTATCCCATATTATATTCTTATATCTTATACTTTTTGTTGAAGAATATCATATGAATGGAAAGAAAACCATTTGTGATAAAAATTCTAATAGATACTAATTAGTCTTAAAGAATTTAAAAATATTTTTTATTTATATATCATTTTAATAATATAAAGAAATTTATTAATTAATTTAAAATGAAAAATTTACTTAATTTTAGAATCTAATCCTAAGATCTAATAATATTTTTAAAATATTTTTGAATTTTAAAAAAAGGTTAAACTTATTTAATAAATAATATTAATTAAAATTATTATAAAGAAAATTAATATTTAAAACTAATACTTTTTTTAAAACTTATGACTTTTAACTCTAATGATAATAGTAAAAGTAATAATAATATCATAATTTTGTATTATTTTATGGCTAATATTGCTTCTGAAACTAAGATTCTTTAGTTTAGACTTATTAAAATTAGTTTAATTAATTGACAGAAATACCAAAACTAGTTTATTAAATTGAAACTAATTTCATCCTTATTTATAACTTTATTTTACTAGAAACTTTTTATATAAAATTAAAATTTTTTACATGATTTTTTTTTTAAAAAATGTATTATTTAATTATATAGGAAAAAAAAATTTTTTATAAACATTTATAAAATATATTAAAATTATACAAAAATAAAACTTTGTAATATTTAAATAATTTTTTTAATTATAAACTACTTAAAATATATTTAAAAACTTTTATATTATTATTTTCTATAATAAATAAAATAAATTTTAAATAGAGTTTTTTTTTTTGCTAAATTATAATATACTGTATATTATATTATTAGTTAAAGTTAAATTTTTTTAAATTAAAAAAAATCAAATAATATTAATAAATATTATTGTTTTAACTTTTATCAAAATCTTAAAAATAAGATTTTTAAGATGGAACTTGAAAAAAATGAACACATAATGACATTTTACAATTACTTGATTTGTATGTTCAATAAAAAATAATTATTCTTTAAAAAGAAAAAAAAGAAAGAGCAAAGAATGATCAGCGTTGCAAATCGCATATCACGTGAAAAACTTCTACAATATAATGAAATAAACTTATTGATCACGTATATTATACTTTTGTATTGTCAATCATTCATAGTTTTCTTAGATTAATAAATCATTTGTATTTAGCAAAAAAAAAAAAAAAAAAAAAATACTTTTTTTTCTTTTCTGATTAAGATAACCCAATTTTCTTATAATAAATTTCCTGGCATAACGATGAAATCTTTGCTTTCTTGTTTTTCTTGTTTTATACATAAAAATAATGATAACTCAAATGAGAGTTCTACTCCCCTAAAAGTGTTTTCCAAATTTAGGAATGAAGGTGCAACTAATGTAATTCCAACCATCAACGTAATTCCTAGCACCGTTAATAATATGGAGGTCACTACCATTACTACTCCTACTTCCAATTTCACGCAAGATTCATCGCCATTTAAGAATTCCGGATCACTTGGAAGTGGTAAAGTCTCTCTCGTCAATAAAGGAAATTCTAACGAAAGCTCTTTTTCTTGTGGTCGAGAAAGCTGTAACTCTCCAAGATCAACTGATCCAAATAATTCCGGAAAATATTTCACTTATTGTACTTCTAATTGTTTTTGGGAAGAAATTCATACTCTTACTACCTCAAAATTTACGCTTCTTTCCGAAAATGATCCTGATTATGATTGTGTTAAGACACGATTCGATTCCACAATTAAAATTAATGCAGAAATCAAATTCATTTTAAGATTGCAAATGTCTAAAAAGATAACAGATCGATTCTTGGAACATAAACAATTAGTCGCCAAGAGTCATGCAATTGATGAAAATATGGTTGTCCATAGAATGTTTCATGGTACTTATTATGCATGTGGTACGGAGAACTTGTGGAATGATGATCGAAAACTTTGTGCGGCGAGTTGTGGCATGTGCGGTATTATTCAAAACGGGATGCTGAAAGAAGTTTCAAGACAAAACCCACGTAAATTTACGATCATTAAAAATCTCTATTAATTTATTCTTTTATGTATTTATAAATATGTTTTAATAATCTTTTCTTAATACATTTATAATAGAACAATTATGGTTTGCTAAGAAAGCTAGAATTTCATTGGATTATTGTCGTTACAGAAATGAAAATTTATTTACTATGTTTATTGTGGACGTTGTGAATGCTCAGGACGCCGAAATTTTAGTTATCAATAACAATGAGGTAAATAACAAAGTCTTAAAATTGGTAATAAAATATATTAACTTCGTTTTTATTCTCGAATAGGCTACTTTACCAAGATTCCTCATCA